GCACTAGCAGCTTCGGCACCAGGCTGAGCAGCAGCAGCGCCGAGCCCCCGGCAGCGCCGCTGGGTGCTAGTATTGAGCCAGCGTCTGTCAGCGCGCAGCCTTGTCGGGGAAAGCCCCTGCGAGGGCACTTCTCACCCTCCGTCATTGAAGCACCTAAATCCCCTGGGCAAGGAGTTGGTCACGCTGTGGCACTGACGATGGGGCCAGGATGGGAGGGACCGTTCTGGGTAATAAACACGGTGCAGCCGGCTGGACACAGGGATACAGCTGCCGGGGCTGGTTTTACCACAGAGGGCCTGCGCCCCACTGAAGTCAGTGAGTTTTGCCCGTGGGTCTGGTAGGATCGGGCCTCTCCAGACACGCCTGGAGAATGCGTCGTCAAGGTCAGCGCTAAATATCGGATGAGTTAGATGAGATGGAGGATTTTTTTCCTGTCCCGGGCTGAAGTAACACCCATTCCTTCTAGTAATTAAATCCCCGCCCCAGCAGTAACACGTGCGCAGGCAGCTACTGAAGGGATGAATTTGTGACGAGAACTGGGGTTTGTTTCGCTTTAGGAATCTAAAGTATCATCGGTAACTCTCCGCAAAACCTCAGCGCCTTGCTGTGGCGACCCCAGGCAGGGAAATAGACACAGCGGTTGAAGTTGTTGGACTTTTCCTGCTGTTTCAGGAAGGGAATGATTGATGCCAACAAACAAACAAAGACTCCTGCGAGTTTAACAGCTGGGAATCCAACCAGTCTTGCTCTGTATGAATTAGCATCTTTATTCCAGATTTCCAGTAGATCGTATTTGTATACATATAAAAGAGATCAACTATCAGTTAGAATTATAATAATTGAAATAACCAGAAATAACCTTTCTTCACATTTTCTCCATTTTTGATGAAAACCCATTGGCTATTTTATTCAATATTTTATTGGCCAGAGAACCATTTAAATGCTGTAACACTGGGGAATGGAAGTGGTGGAATTACGTGAGAACGTTACTTTATATAGGGATTTAAGACAAATGTCTTCTGCCTACCACCTTTCTGTCAGGCCGTTTTTCAGGTTCGCCTGTTGCCAACTTGCACGAGGGGATCTCATATATTTCAGTTACTTCCTATTGCAGACGATACAGAAGCAATATCCAGGACACACGAATCTCCGGGAAAAAACAACAACAACATATCACCAGCGGTACTTTCTACTGACACCGGCTGGATCGCGTTATTCCCCAAGTAGTCATGGGCCAGATCAGGGAAACGGCAGCGTCTTCCTTTAGAGAGCCACGACTAAGGCTTGCGTGCCAAGCAGCTGCTCTATCACCGGTACCCGGATTATGGGATTTGATTTGACCACGCCTGCCGTGGGCCGGGCAAGGCGCGCAGAAGGAGGGCTCCCCGGGGAGTGAATTAATAACTTCAACAAATGAGCGCAGAAGCAGCAAGGAGAGGGGGAGGAGGTAGGCCCCCTACGTCGAGCCATGAGGCCAACGATTCTCCTGGAGAACAAAGCAAAGCACTACATTTACAATAAAATACATTCTCCAAAGAGCCACACAGTGACTTCCGTTTGAGATCACCACCTTTGTTATACTTAGTTTATGTCTGCTAAATGCCTTAAGTAGATCAAAGTTACTGCGAAGGGCTGAAATAGAAGGTTTATCAAAAGATCACCCAAAGGCTGTCTCTCGACCCAGGGAGCAAGGATCAGAACTGAGCTACACTGCATTATAGGAGCTGAAGGTCACTTTAATCAGTTGTAGTTTCTGTACCTCTGCTCTTCCGTATAGCAGGTTAACCTCTTTTTTAGTAGATAGTTTCCAATAGCTGTCATAGATAAGATTCCTTATTAGGAATTTCACTAGCCCCCACTGAAAAAAAATACTAAGACTGCACCCTTGGTTAAACGTGACGACAGATGTTTTATCTATAAATGTTGTTGGTGCAGTATTCCTCCCAGGATTCAGAGAAAGAAAGTGGGTGAGGTAATGTATTTTATTAACCCAAAGTCTGTTGAGAAACACAAACTTTAGAGCAGATGCAGGTGGAGAAAATCTCTAATCTCTCAAGCTTGTCTCTCATCAACATAAATTGGTCCAATGAAAGGTATTACCTCATCCACCTTCTCTCTCAAAACATACTACAGCAAACAAACCAATGGATGAGGACCTTCTCCACTCACTGCTGTGGAATTTTTAATCCCACCAACATTTACAGACATAAATGGCAAACTTTTATTCTTCAGAAATCATTCTTATTTTTATGTTTTTTTGTTTAGCCAAGACATTCACTAAAGTTTAGTCATTTAAAAATAAGACTGATTTACATTTAACATGCCATATTATAAACAGGTGTGGGAGAAGACATGTTTTCTGTAATCGGACTACTTAAATCAATTTCTTATTTGCATTTCAACAGGAAAAACAAGATGTAAAGGTAAGACACACCAAAGCAACCAATAGGAACTATTAAGCTGAATGGGTTATGGTCTTGAACTTTTATCAGTAGGGTTGTACATTTAAATTTTTTTGTGCATGACATCACCTTTAAATAAAAAGTGATCTACACATAGGTTTGAAAAACCTCTCTGATAGTAAAAGTATGAATACACCTAGAAAACAAAAAAATGATTCTGACTCCAAATTAAAGGGTTAGAAGTGATATTTTCATTGTGGGACACTGAATAAGCCATTGATTTTTATAAAAGGCAACTTAGTACACTTTACAGTGGTGAAAGGGAAAAAAACAAAAAACAAACAAAACAAAAAACCAGCACTAGCCAGCTTCCCTAGGAGCTCAGAACACCAATAACCTTTCCACAACCTAGGGAAGCGTAGCTGGGAGGAGAATTTGGCTACTTTTAATAGAATTTTTACTAAATCACACTTGGCTGATCATTTTGCCTTTTTTAGTGGTCTTTAATAGAAAAAATGCAGCTTCTTCTAGCGTGGCTTTGTAAATTTGTACTGTTACTACACCTCTACCTGATATAACGCGGCCCGATATAACATGAACGCAGTAAAGCAGTGCTTCAGGGGGGTGGGGCTGCGCACTCCAGCGGATCAAAGCAAGTTTGATAGAACGAGGTGTCACCTACACCGCGGTAAGGACAGCATTGTATCGGGGTAGAGGTGTACCAAAGAATGTCTGTTAGATGGCTCAACATATTCTGTTCTGTTTTGTATACTGTGATCTTTCAAGAGCACGTTGGGTTTCCTCCTTGCCCTGTCTTTCTCAGGTGGAAAGAAATACTATTAACTCCCTGGAAATAGGAATCAATATTTATTAAATGAAGAAAACTTCAGCATTAGTCCTCTGTCTGTAAATATTGTGTTCAGACCCAACAATGTTAGGATTTCAAGTTCCTAATGAAATCCCCAAGCTAAAGACTACTGATCTGCAGTTTGTGTTCCTATGTTTCCATCTCATCATTGTGAGCCATATAGAAAAATGACAATATTCTTAAAATGTAATGCTTAAATCTGCTATGGAATAAAATCTACAGCTTAAGGTACAAAACAGTGAAGTAATGTTTTGGCAAATGCACAAAAATCTGTTTTGTTTTCAGTTTTTACATATCTAAACAGGACAAGCTATTTTGTATAGCAGTTAAAAGCTATTCCATAAGGATTCAGAACCTGATCTTGAATTTCTAGTACACTACTAATAAATACCTTAAACTGAAACAAAGCAAATATGAATTGGTCATGTTCATTTTTATGTTGAAAAGATCTGAATTACTACCATCATTTATACATTCAAACAAATGGCACCAAAATTTATTGTAAACATAATACATTTATGCTCATAATTAAAAATGACCTACAAAATTACTTCTATGTCAAGTTCATGCAGTATTTCCAAGTTATGGCTGGTATCAACCACATTTTAAATGTTGAAATATGTTAGCTGAAGTCTTTTTTAAGCATAATTGTTTTCCTGCCACTACTGAAGCTTTAAGCTTTGTAGTTTGTTACTGAACTCCAGTTTCAGCTGGCATTCTCTGTTTTTATCAGTTCTTTGATGATGTGTAAAATCTTGTCATCTAGGGAGGAAAAAACAGAAGTTAGTGGAAAAAAACCTAAATTTAACAAAATGGGAGAGATGGGCAATTTAACAAGGAAAGCTTTAATTAGCTAGGCGGTGTCTGACTCAATAGTGAGGCAGAGTGCATTTCCCCCCCACCCCAAATATGCAGATAAGAAATTATCCTTATACACACTAAGTACTGTTATACTGCATATTGTTTACTAATAAATTGCCTGCAGCCATTTCAGTAGTGTTTCCTAAGGGAACTGGAGAAAAAGAGAAGAGAAGAGGACTTTCACAGATACATTTTAACATGTTTCACTCCAGTTAGGATTTTATTTCTTGACATTTCTCTCAAGTTTTAGAAGCATGGAGTATGCCCATTTATCCCTTATTTTTGGGGCTGTCATGTAATCCCTCCCACACTATTTACCTATAAGTATCAGTACATTGCACATTGTCTTACAGCTGTGGCAAGCTATGGGGGTAGATGAGAACACCCTGACAAATGGAAACTAACCACTATTACTGCTACCATTACCGTTATGATTGTAGAGAAGTCAGTCTATGTCAGACACATTTTTAAAGAAACAATCACATATAGCCCCAGATTTTTGGGGTGAAGCCATGAAGGAGACCTAGGTTCAGTAATGACCTTTTGGGTTTCTGTTTCTCATGAGAGTTGAATTAGGCACACCATGGCTACAATGTGGTCTCTTGAGCAACGATGAAGTGTATTAGTATATTTGTTTAAAGAACTATACACACACACTGTACATATACAATGTATATTTATCACACTTTTTTATGTTGATAGTACAGCAATACAATTACCTTCAAGTGACATTTTAGGATTTTCAAGTTTTTTCTTTAAAACAGACTCAATGAGAACCCTCAGTTGTTTGAAAATTACTGCAATCTTTACAGGAGCCTGTAGAAAGAAGATAAGAGAAGATTAATATATTTGCATGTTTCTCAAAGCAGTTTCCTATTGAGGAAACCCAAGATTAAAGCTTACCCATCATACAAGAGGCCAAGGACCCAATCCTGCAAATAGTTATGCACGTGCTTAACTTTTGTGTATTCCTAATAAGGTCAGTAGGACTAAGCATGTATTTAAGTTAAGCACGTGAGCAGTACCACTGACTTCATTAGGAGCAAGGCCTAAAGTAACTCAAAGTGCTGACCAGGGATTTAATATCACTGCCTGTAGATTATAGACCAACAGTATAAATATACAGAGTGGGCAGGGGGAGTGAGAAAAAAAAATTACAGACATAATAGACACGGTAGATATTTGATACCCCCTGTACTCAAACTATCACCTGCAGGCTTTAAAAAACTTATGTTGATTTGCCCAGGAAAAATGTGGATCTCAAATTGAATTGGCTAATAAGAACATATGGTTGTCTCTCATTTCAGTCACACAGCCAGAAAGCTGTGTTACCTGTCCCTCCCCCAAAGAAAGGCTGATCTTAAAAATTCTGTGTGTGTTGAGTAACAAGTGCATTCAGTCATTAACTGGTGTTTCCTTGTAACAATATTTGTATCTCATTCTGAGTTTCAGGGAATGCTTACATAAAATTAGCAACATACACTCTTCCTAGGGGGTAGCATGAGGTATAAAATGAACAGAGCTAGAAGAAAAAATGTAAGCAATTTGACAGCAGGTGGGCAACTCCCATATTTCTTCTGTTGTTTGGTAGCATTTACCAAAAAAAAAAAAGCAGGTGGCCAGTTTTCATTTTCAGCCTCAGATTAAATGCATTCAGAAAATGCGTTTAGAATTTCTTCTGTTTAGAAAGAGAGAGCGCAAGAGTGTTTGCTTTAAGTCTTAAATGTTTCTCACAGCTTTCACTCCCAAGACGAAACTCATCTGAGATGTAAATGAATTAGATTAGTGAAGGGTTTAAAGTTAAGCAGGTGACTACATCTTTACAGGATTGGGACCTATGAATTCAAAATGTTCCAATTAAATACATTTTCAGTTATGACACTTACTTAAAGCAAGTATTTCCTCTTCCTCCAAATCGGGTAAATGTGTTTTTCCAATAGTACCTATTCTTATAATACCTCAATCTTTCTTTATGAATAAGGGCAAACATTCTTTTTTAAAAATAGCATACTATTAAATTACTCTTGCTATCTCTTGGAAGCACATGACCTTATTACACATTTAACAAAATTCCCATTATTTCGCTTAACTATCTTAAACTCACACTTCAATGTGTTTCAGATACAAAATGCACAGCCATTTAACGGCACAAGAAATAACCAGAACATATGTGTACCTGAAAATGGATCCAGCCATCAACAGACAGGAGGCGTTCACGATGCTGAACTTCTATGTCTCCACCAAAAAGTAAAACTGGAAAGGGGGAAATTAAAGTAGTCTCTCTCAAGTACACCTTGGCATATCTTATCTGCATATAAAAAACACACAAACAAAAGCATTAAAAAACTACAACACTGAACTGGAATGCTACTTTCATGAAGCAAGTCGTCAATTTTTCCCCTCTGAGACATCATTACATATGCTACTCATGTTAGTAAACAGTGAAAGAATGTAGGCTATGCCCAATTATCTGCCCTATACTTTGTGTGATATGTAAAAATCTTAGTCTTTAAGAAAGAGAAAAAGGCTTATGCCACTGGGAGAAATTTTCCTTTCGTGATCCTTTAGAGGTGAATTTTAAAGAGCACTGGATGAATAGGAAGACCACAATTATGTGATTAAGATTATAAACAAAAGATAATGGTAGCCTACAGCAGATTGTACAAAGGCTATGAATATACAGCTGAATG